AACACAGGGCTCAGCTGGCAGGCTTCCAGCGCTGCTTTGGCTGGTTTATTTTGACGAGGGCCGTTTCGCTGCAATTATTCATAAGAATACTTTTAGGCACCAAAGCAAAACACTGCTCCCCCATCCTGCCAGAAAGCAGGAAACCAGGTGCACCTCACAAGCTGATGGAAGCCTCGCCCTCGCCTGGCGATCCTTCCCGGAAATCTGACTTTATGCCGTGTGTCTCTTCACAGCCAGTGGGGTGTCGTGGACAGGAGTGTCGGGGTTCAAGTCCTTGTACAGCCACAGAGAGTGCTTTCTTGGGAGGTGCGCTCCTTGAACCTCTCCCCTGTCCAGGGTCCTGTGCCGTGTTGCAGAGGTCCTAGAGGAGGGCTGGGGAGCAGGTCACGGGGTGCCGGCACCTCTCAGACCAGGCTCATTTTGGAACTGCTTCTTTCCTGGACCTTCTCGGTGGGGGAGGGGGAGCCTGGGGTCTGGGCAGAGACTTCTTGACTTCTCTTTGCCATCTGCCCAATCCCTTCTCGAAAGACACTTATTTCCTTGGCTGCCTTTTTTCTCCTTTTACAGGTGGCCTGATGTCATTATCGTCTCATCTGTGACTCAGCCAAAGCATGCAGGCTGACAGAGTGTTTTATGTCTTGGGGGAGGTGGGGGGGGAGCTGGTCTGCTCTATGAATTTCTGTGGGGCCACAGCAGGCTTAAAAGGGGTTTAACCAGCAGATGGCCTGCAGCATTTCCTCCAAATGCCCTCAGGCACCAGGAGGGCCCCTCTTCCCTCCCTTCCTCCCTCCCTCCCTTCCATTTAGGTACCAGGAGGGCCTCTCTTCCCTCCCTCCCTCCCTCTGCAGCGCTGACACATCAACTTGATTTGATTTCATCATTTGTCCCAAGACAGAATCCACAGAACTGTAAAGTCAGGAGGGACCCTGACTTTAAGGGTCATTTTCAGTCCAGCCCCTTGCTGGGCAATTGCATAGGAAATGCACAGCTCCGACCTCCCTGCCCCACGGCTGGCCAGCCTCACACAGGAGAGTCCCCCACCTTCTTCGGTCCTCCTAAACAGCTCTTACTCTCAGGAAGTTCTTCCTGACCTTTACCTGAAGTCTCCAGTCTTGCTACTGGAATTTGCAGGGGGAAAAGCATGCTCACCTTCCCCGTGGCAGCCCTTCTCGGAGCTGAAGAGGGCTCAGCTTCCATCTTTCCAGCGTCTTCACTTTCCTCCAGACAGACTCCAGCATGTTGATGTTTCCCTCATATTCTGGATCTTCAGAGCTCAGCCCCGTGCTCCAGGGGAAGGGAGACCCAAACTAAGAGAGGGCCGCAACGACTGCTCTAGATCTAGGGGTGTCTGTGTGGAACTACCTTAATCTTGGATGGGCTGGGGGGAGGGTTGCATGGCAATATCCACTCATCCATTTGGACCAGCGGAGGTCCAGGCCAGGCCTCAACCCGGAGCAAGGCACGAGATCTTTGAACCAGGCTAGCACTGAGGCGCTGCAGGGGAAGAACCGTGGAAGAGGACAGTTCAAGGCTTGCTGGTGGCCTTTTGAGAGGCAGCTGGTTGGCCAGTTTTAGAACCAGGCACTGGACCCCATGTCCCCCACCCACCCACACCGGATCTCACCCAGCTGCCCGCTTCTTCTCATTTCCTCGTGTCCTCATCTCACAAGATCTCCAGCTGTGGCCCAACAAAGGAAGGGAAAGAGCGCGGCGGAGAAAATGGATTTTACTTGCCCAGCGGTGTCGGCAATGGCCTTTCCCGCTTTTTTGTTCCAACGGCAGCCTTGCTTTGGAGATGCCAGATGAAGCTCCCAGCTAGAATTCCATTAAAGTACAAGCTAGACATACATTAATTAGGAAAGAGGGATGCATTAGCTTCGCCCTCGGCTCAGTGGGTGATCTGTTCCTCTTGTGTAATCTTTGCTAGGCAGAGAATCTACATGGAAGGCAGAACAGGCTCCCCCCCCCCTGCTTCTCCCTTGATGAGGGCTTCTCCCCTTCTGGAGCCCCACGAGGCCAGCATGAGGGCTGCTCTTGCAGAGAGAGGTTAGGCTCCCCTTCTGGAGCCCCACGAGGCCAGCATGACCTCTTCGGAAAGCTGCAGGAAAGGGTCACCAACCTGGGGAGCAGGTGCTTTTACTAGCAGAGGTTTTATAGCTCTGCAGCTGTTCCACATCACCCTTCCTGTCCTCCATAGGCTCTCTGTGGCTTTGATTTATGGGTTGGGAAGCCAGGCTCGTAGATATCCATGACTGGGAACTCCCCCGTGTTTGCTGCACTTGAGGGACATGCCATAGTTCTAACAGCTCAGTCTTAGGCCTCTTTCTCTCTCTCTCTCTCTCTCTCTCTCTCTCTCTCTCTCTCTCTCTCACACACACACACACACACAC